TTTTTGGAAAATATATTTTCTGCAGTATATATATACTAATATATGTACTTCCATGTGCATTGAACATGCCCAGGGGCTTAGGCTTTTGAGATATATTAACTAAATGGTAGAAACACTGCACTTGGTGCTCAGCATCTAACAAGAAATCTGAATCCAAACTCCCACAGCTGTCTTCACCAACCTCACATAATACCAGTGCTGAACCAAAATGAAAAGGAAAACAAATGTTGCACTGTGTTACTAAATTCGATGTGTGTTGGTTATAAGTATCCCAATACAAAGGATCATACTATTATTCCCAAAAATGTGATATGTGTCCCAACATCATAAATACACATAAAATGAAAAAATTAAGAGGGTGACACCACTATTCCACAGTGACACACCAATAAAGAAAATATCAGTTCATAAATCAGTAAACACAGATCTGCATGGAAGTCTACCACCTATATGTAAATTTCCAAATAAAATAAGTAGTTATGTGTAGGAGGGTTCCACCATCATTGCAAATCTTGTCATGTTTTCACTCGTGAATGTCAATAAGCAGCCTTGTGCATTCCACACCAACGCTAATTGCAACTTCTTACCAAATGATAAGGCCCTAAATTATAGGTGGTCTTATAACAGTAGGTTGTTCAGCAATCATCCATCACCAGCCTTGGAACCATATGGCATATGACAGCAACAGGTTGTTCAATGGCACTCAGGAGCTCCAGGGTACATCGGCAGGGATTCGCTGTTTGCAGCTCCACTCCCCCATGTACATTAAGCCATGTAAGGGATAAGCAGGCATTCCATACATTCCATAGTGTAACCCGCAGATTTAGTGTAATAAATATTGTGCATCTACTCACATAAGTACAAGGATAAATCGCATGGCTTACTGTACATGGCAGAGCGGAGGTGAATCCATGCTTTATGGATTTTTTTTCTTGTGTGTTTCACTTTGGAATAGTGGTGTCACCCTCTGATTTTTTTTTATTTTTTTTTTTTTTTTTGGGGGGGATAATATTATGATTCTTGATTATTATGATTCTTGGATAGTATTATGACACATTTTGTATTCCAGTTGAAATATATTGCTTGTTACACTGAGCATACCCAGGGACTTGGGGCTGGTTCACACCACAGAGTTGAAGTCTACAGGAATATGACAGCACAGTGGCTTAAGGCTACGTTCACACTAGCGTTGTGTGCAGGCGGCAGAGAGGCGTTTGGGAAGCGTTTTTACCGCTTCCCAAATGCCTCTGACAATTCTGCACATTGCAGCACATGGTGCTGTTCTAACGGGAGCGTCAGCATTGCGTCGCGGCAAAACGGACGCCTCTGGTTGAGTCAGGAGGCGTTGAAGCCTCCTATTTTAGTCTATGGTGCCGCTCCGCAAACGCCTGGCTGGCGCTTGCGGCGCGGTTGCGACGCGGTTGCGGGGCGTTTGCGGAGCGACAACACCATTTAAACTTCATTATAGGCGTTTGCGGAGCGTTTTTAACGCTCGGCAAACGCCTAGCAACCGCCACTAAACCGTGCATGCGGCATTTGCGGAGCATTTGCCGAGCGTTAAAAACGTTCTGCAAGCGCTGGACCAATGATTGCTAAATGCTATAGTGGCGTTTGGCAAGCGTTGGTAAAACAGTCAAGTGTGAACGAGCCCTTATAGTTAGCACTTCTGCCTAGCAGGTGATAAATAAAAATATTCGCCCTTCAAAAAACCTTTAACAGCTCCAAAGCTGAATTTTAGTTTTCATTGAACTCAGCTGGTGGATAGGTATAGTCTTTAACAAGTCAACCTGGGCCTTTACATTTTTTTAATTCACCAGTTGCAATCTGAGGAACGCCAATCAATTTGTAAATAAAGTCAAAAAGTTTTCATAATAAATGTATTGTATACAAAAGGAAATCTATTTGCATGTGTGGGAGCCAATGATTGCACATAAAAATTAATTATCATACACAAATGGTCTCTGGACCAGAATTGAATCATCACATTTGCGGAAGTAAATTCGCATGCACCTAGAGACCAAGAAATGTCAGTTCCTTGGCCAAAATTAAACACACAGCAGCTGGAGTCAGGTGCCACTTACCAAATTTAAAAATTTAAAACATCAAACAGGTTTTAATTGTGTGTGTATTTGCAAAAAGTGAGGCAGAAGTGGTCATTGGCACAATCATGGCTGAAAAGGAGGAGGTGCTACTGCTGCTGGAACTGGCTATGTTTGCAAGAGCCGTCTGCAAAGCAGGGAGGAGGCATGCAACCAATCGCATTCACCAGAAACGGCTTTTTTACACCACGTGTATACTTGTAAAGTATGCGGGACTCTGATGTCCATTACAGGTTTTGGTTTGGGAAGAGGCAATTATACACCTCTATGAGCTCTTCCCTACCCTCAAAGAGCTCACATTCATACATACTAGTGCCAACTAACCTTTGGAATGTGGGTTAGAAACAGGCACAGGAAGAACATGCAAACTCCAGGCATGTGTCGCCATGGTTGGGATTTAAAGCGAGGACCCTAGTGTTGCTAGACAGAAGTGTTAACCACTATGCTGCCCTTAAACATTATGAAGAATGTACCATGATTCAAGAATTAAGATATATAATTATAAGTAGCTATTATAAGAAAATGTCAATTAGACAATAATCATTTGTCATATAACAGAGATATTACTGTCATGGATTTGAAGGGGAACCCCATGGCCAAAAAAAAAAATTGTGGCTTCCCCCAAAACCACTAACACACCTTTTTATGAGAATACAGTCCTGCAGGCAAGGAAACAGGGGTGGAAAAGCAAGCCCCCCCCCCCCCCCCTACAAAATTAGTTCAGGTACTTTTATAGCTCTGTCAATTTACATACACATATATATATATATAGTATATTCACATTAGGCCCTGCTTTCAAGGAGCTTACAATCTAAAGTCCCGAACTCACATTCATATACTGGGGACAATTTAGAACAGGAGCTAAAACAACTACCAGGATGTCTTTGACGTGTGGGAGGAAACCCACATAGGCAGAACATGCAAACTCCATGCATTTAGTGCCATGGTTGGGATTTGAACCAGAAACTCTAGTGCTGCTAGGTAGAAGTGCTAACCACAGCACCAACCTGCCCCAAGCGAGGTGTTGAGGAGGGGTGCAGGGCTGTCTTTAATGCAGGGCAGCTGCCCTGGGTCCAGTAATTGTCATGGGGTCTTCAGCAGCTGCCGGTGGTTTGTGTGGACGGAGACTAACGTTACAGCAGGAAGCTCAGCGGAACATATCTAGCATCCCACACAGTGCGAAGCTGAGTAGGAGGTGACTGTAAAGTTTTAGAAAGAAAAATGGCGGTGTATGCAATGAAGACAGCTGTCAACACACGCAGCGGCTTGTAAGAATGATCAGCGGGAAGATGAGCTTTATCAGTTTGCAGCGTCATGGGTGGTAAGAGTGGAGGACTTTTTTGACATGTTGCAAAGAGGGAGCCTGCATGGTAAAGCTTACGGTAACTTGGCTTTGCTTTGCTAACACTGCTTTGTCCTGCTCCTGACTAACATACTAAGCCCTAAAGTGGGGACTAACTCCGGCCCCCGCCACCTCTCAGGCAGTCAGCATTCGGCCTATTCTGTAACCCGCTCCCTTCCCCAGCCCGCCACATATGACTTAGAAGAGGCAGCCAGTGTGGAGCTGGAATGGAACGGGTAAGAGTCAGAGAGTCAGAATTTTTTTGTGTGCTTTATTGTTTAGCAGCTTATAAGTAGCTGAAGTACATTTGTGTTTGCTTTTTAGAACCTGAGCATTGCTGAAAGAACAGTTTTACTATATGGGGATGAAGGTGCCTTCAGATTGCTGACATATTCCATCCATAGCATATATTCCATTTCTGTACTATGTATGCAGTCTCTGACTATGCCCTGTGGTATGACTGCTGTCTCTGACCATCTCCTGTGGTATGACCAAAAGTCATTTGCCTATGTGAAGATGCTTTTCCATTCACCACGGCAAGGTCTTCAGTTAGGTGAAGATTGATGTCTAACATCTATTGCTTCACCTTATTCCTAGTAAATCAACCCCTTATGGTCAGGAGGTGGAGGAAGGTGAGTGAACAGCAATGTTTCTTGCCCCTATTCTCTTCATGTTTCTTCTTTTCTGCAACCCTACACCCCCCCCCCTTTACTTTTGAAACTTTGCTATTGTATCATGTACCCACATGCCAGATTGTACTATCGTGAACTTTGTTTTGCCTGGCAAACCTTAAAGGATAAGTTCATCTTTTGGAACATGTTACATGTTCCACCCATTTTTAGGGTTGAACATGTAACATGTAACACGTTCCCCCCATTTCTAGGGTATAACATGTAATATATTCCCAATGCTGCTGCCGCTGCCCCCTCTCTCTGTGGCAGAAGTATGGGTAGAAGTTCCCCGTACCAGCTGTCACTTTTTAAAAACAGTGTGGCCGTGCAAGAAAGACTCTGCCCACACGGACGTGACATTCATTCACAGTGTTCTGTGAATGAATGAACTACAAGTCCTGACAGCCTTAGCAGCTGTCGACTTGCAGTTCTGAATGAACTACCACGGCGCTCCACATAGTTCATTTAATCTTTCTGTCAGTATATCTGCTTGCCCCTATATCCCATATGGGCAAGCAGATATACTGACAGGTCTGCAGGGCACCTGCATGGCACCAGTGATCTGCTGATCGCTGGTGCAATGCTGTACAGGTTCCTGCAACCAAAAATAACAAATGCACATTTTTTTACCTGGAAAAAAAATGTGCATTTAATATTTTTGGTCAAAAGGTGAACTTTAATAAATGTTTCTGTAAAAAAAAAAAATGTTGTATTTACTCTCACTTTTATTACCCCCAACATCGGTGATCAGGGCAACTAAAGAAAATGAAGCTCCCTAAGGACACAGACAGCAATGAAAACCACCCATCAGTGGTTCCAACCTGTTACCACTCTGTCCACATATAGAAAATTTTTTTTGCCTTTAGATATACTTGAAGGAGTCTTTACCTGATTCTCGTGACATGGTCCTTGGCAATATTCTGTGAGGGTTTCCAAAGTCTGAATAATGAGAGCCACATTTTTTTCATTGATGTAGAGACCCAAAAGGCCAAGTCCTCCTGTAGTGCTCCCACACATAATATCCAAGAACTGCAGTGTCTCACATACCAGGTTATAATTGGTCTTATTATTTTGATTCCGCAAGTAATTCTGTTTAAATAATAAATGCACAGAGCTGTAATAATTTGTATTATTCATTAGATGAAATTAAGCATACAGTCTCAACATCTAGAAAAAAAAAAATGTATCATTTTTGGAGCATCTCTATAAAATGACATCTGTATGATGAAAGATACTCAAAGAAAGCTATTTAGACTGGCATGAAGGAGGCATAAACCAGTTGCTCCAGGATTTGAAATGATGAGCAATAAAAAAAAGTTCCTGTGCTCAATACAGGGCTACATTATTTACATTACCAGCACTTTTACACATATGCCACAACACAAATGACAAATGAATGATGAAAATGTACCAAAGAAATTTAGAGTGTGGGCTCTTTGTAATTGTGTATAAAGACAACTGCTAAACATGTATTAGTTTGTATGTCTAATTGTTAGCAAACTGTTCCCATAGGTTTTACAGTGTGCTCTAGTGCAGTGTTTCTCAAACCTTTTTCAGTCAAGACACCCTTTAAAATTATGGACAATGTCAAGGCACCCTCTAAAATTATGGACAGTCTTGAGACACTCTCTAGAACCCTTTTAAAAGCAAAAGCAGAAGAAAAACGTGAAAGCAGCCTAACACAAAACATTTTTTATCATTCGAAATTTTTTATTATTGAAGATTGTAAACATTTTTCAGTTATTTTTTAATCCTGACCATCCTAGTAGCAGATGTATGGCAGGTGTCAGTGTTATCTCAAAGTTATTTTCTTATAAATCCATGTTGTTGCTTCCTTTTGGTTCATGTACACAGGATTTGCTTTGCATCTGAGCGGTTTTTTTCTTCCTTAAACAAGTCAATGTAAAAGTAAGAGCAACTCTAAGCAGTTTGAAGCAACTTTCTGAGCTAGGATCAACAACAGGAGGGCATGATTTCAAACTAGCAGGAACGCTCACAACTAGCTTACCAAAAGAGTAGTTGATGCTTGAAACAGACTTCCAGTAGGGGTAATGAGTCAGTCAACAGTAAGTGGATTAAAAAAAATTCAAATACCTGTACAAAGAAATGGGGCAGACTCGATGAGCCACTTGGTCTTTTTTTGCCATCACTTTTCTAAGTTTCTTTGTAACTCAGAAGCACCTGAAAGCAAACTGCATTTGACTTGCTTCTGATTCTGATTCCTGTGTATGGGAGCCCTTGGTTATTCTTAAAACACCTATTAATTTGTAACCCTACATCATAACAGGGATATATAGACAGCACCGATTTTTTTTCTTCAACGGATCCTGTCAGGTTAACATAGAATACATTTTAACTGACCACTCCAGTGATTTGTGTCTTCTAACTCTGTTCCAGTACTGCAACCTCCCTCAGTGTTTTTGGCATTGAAAACTTCAAAGTGTGTTGAATACATATGTCCCCTGCTGCATGTCATGGTTTCCTCCTCAAAACCCTAGGTCACTTTGTGACTCATCCGTGACTCAAACACTTTAGAGGAAACCACAGAGTACAGCAGGGGACACAGGCATCCAACGCTCTTTTGTGTTTTATGCAGAAAACACTGATGGAGGCTGCAGTGCTGGAACAGAGGGAAGGTAATGGACACAAGCTGCCAGAAAGATATGTTTTTTGATCTTTTCTTTTCCATTGGATTTTCACCTGTGCCTTTTGTTAACTTTTTTTATTTTGAAAAAAATCTTCAAAGATTTAATTATCTCTCTTTTTTGTATTCCATTCGCATAACATAAAAGAATCTGCATCAATAAATATCTGTAAATCAGACAAATTAGAAGTCTAAAAGCAAAGCAATGTATTTAGAAAAAACTGCAAGCAAACACAGAGAAGCCAATAAATTCAAGTAATCTAATTATGGAGATTCAATTCAAACTTTACTGCTAATATGTCTACAGTGACTGATGCTAAAATCAATAATATACAGTTACCTGCAGATCTGGGTTGTGGTTTTCACACAGCAACTGAAGAAATCTGAGAATGGGCTCCATGATTAAGACAACTGGGCCGACTTCATTTCTTTCACCAATCTCCCCTCCTTCATGCCCTTTATGGTGGGGCACTCCTGTTACAGCTTTTGAGGAAGCAAGCACCCCAAAGTGAGCATTGTGTCCTTAAAACATGACAAAATGTATTTCTTGTAGTCTGGCTAGAGAGAATAACCCTCTTACCACTACAGTTTTAATAACATATACTTCATCAAGTATCATCAAACTGCTAAGCTCCATTTATATTATGGTGCAGAGTGGCATAATCAATAAAGTGGACTTGGACTGTACTTTGTCCAACTTATTCAAAACCCTTTATTTAGCTTTCTCAAATGTGAACCTGACAGGCTAATAATGTATGGATGTACAAAAACACAAAAGGTAATTCTGAAAGACCTGTATCCACAGAACAAAATCTATCTAATAATAAAATCTCATTCCATTTGTTATTTTCATCTAATTGCAAATTATCTTCAGGCTCTGGAGTTTGCACAGCATGAAGTACATAAATACATGTCTGGTGAAACTAGGATATTCCGAAGGCCTTGACTAAATAGATTAATGAGAACCTGTCAGTAGAGAAATACAGAAGCTGCCACTGCTGACTTCTTTTAAAGTCTGAAAGTTGCAGTACTGTCACCCTTAGTATTTTATCAATAGTGAATTACTGACAAAGTACTGGTATGCTGAGACTTGCAGAAAATGCAAATAGGGAGTTCTGACTTCACCAACTTCAATGGGTGCATTCTTGTTCCAGGTCTATGACTCACTAGTAAGTAATAAAGCCAGAAGATGATGGACACAGATAAGGAATATGAAGTTTATAAATAATAAAAGCCAGCAAATAGCAGTTACTTTTATTGTGATGGGTTCCATTTGAGCCCTTTAGATAGAAATAAAATGCAATGAACTGTATCATTATTATTGCTATTCTGTTTAACTTACCTTTTGAGGGGAGGTTCGAAGCAGATTCCTGTGCATCTCCAGCCCCTAAATCATTCATGTTTACAGACATAGTGGATTTTATTTCTTGCTGAGCACTTTTTATTCTTTCATTAAAAACCTTGAAGAACTTTTCTGATTTATTGTCAGCCTTTAATAAATTGTAAAATGAATTCTGAAGAAAAGACAGAAATAAGGCACTGTTAATTCATTTAATCTGATATTATAAACAAATATAGTGTGGCTTACTTATGAAAACTAAATAATGTTGAATTAACCAATAGCAAATATTTGCTTCTTTTTGTGGCAAATGTTTTGGTAACCTATTCTCATTGACATAATAACTATAAAATGACCAGGGATGTACAGTACCTTCTATGGGTTTAAGTCCTTCCTTTCAGAGCTCACACCTACACGTGTAGCTTCCAGGACCTGCTGTTTTTAAAGCTATGGTCCTGGCTTGTTAAAAAAATGTTTTGTTCAGTGCTTTCTAAAATGTAAGTAAACATTTATATATTGCAGTTAGCTGCCACTCTCAGAGCCAATTACAATGCCAGACAGGCGTTAAATAAAAGTCTTGATTTTTTTTTAAATAAAAGATGATCAGAATCCAGCGGGTCAGTGTCAGTCATTTGACCACTGTGACAGTCAATCACAGTGATAACGTGACAAGAAAGCCCGTCCTGCCTCCTGGCATCAAGACCCACTTAAAAGGCCTAAGGTAGGTGACAGGAAGGGCTTAATTTATACTTTCCTCTCCCTCCTCTATTTTTTTTTATACTGTTTATACAAAATTAGTAAAAAAACAGTCATGCAAACAATAATAATAAAAAACAAATATTAATTTCATTTGTAAATAACTACACAGTGTAATAAAGCCTAAATTTAGTGTCATATTAAACAGGAGAAATTGCAAAATAAAACATTTTATAATAACACTTGCTTAAAGCTGAACTTCTTACAGCTGGCTTTAAATCCAGCCTTACACTTGTCTTAAAGTGGTTGTACAGGTTGAAGATTTTTCACCGTCATGCATTCTATACATGAAGGTAAAAAATCTTCAATGTGTTTTTCCCCCACCGCTCAGCTAATACTTACCTGAGCCCCATCTCTATCCAGCAGTGTGCACAAAAGCAGTGGATCTCCTGGGATTGGATTGGTTCTTATTGTCTGAGACACAGCAGCAGGGGCAATTGGTTCATGCTGCTGCCAATCACAGCCAGTGAGGTGGGTGCAGGTGGGGGGGGGAAACAGAGCCACACAGAGGCGGATCAGGAGCACCACACCTCCATCCAGAGTAAGTAGCTTGCACTGGAGGCACTCGGCAAGGGGGAGGAGCCAGAAGCACATACAGTTCTCTTCCTCCATCGGTAATGCTCTGTGATCACTGGGTGCAGGCGAGTAATCACCGTCCGGGACTCGGTGATTGACAGCTGAGGCCGCGTCCCCTACCCGGAAATGCAAACTCACATATATATATACGTGATTGTGCGCACCCCTGCTGCCCTGCAGCAGTATATCTGCTATAGGGTGGCGGGAAAGCAGTTAAAGAAAAAAAAACATAGCTTTAGAACCAATTTAAAGCTGAACTCCAACAAGTTCTGATATCTCTCAATTTCATGCAGACTTGTATATCCAAAATATAACCCTTTGAAGCTTCTAACTTGAGCCTGTCCTCATTTTCAGTCTGAATGATTATCAACAATCCTTTCTGATCCATATTGTTGTTGGGCTGCCTGTCACTGCTAGTAGATTTCTTTATATAATACACAATGCTAATATACAGTATATTGCCTGGTAATATTAAAAATAAATTAACAATAATGCAATCTAAACCAATGAAGCAATACTAAATAAATAATAAATGTGTCTCAAACAAAATAACAATTGTATAACTATATATATATATATTGTTTTATACTACTTGTGTATAATAACTTCTACTCTTAAAATGGTGATTAAGAAGAAGTAACTATCTTGTGTTGCAGTCTTCAGTGTATAATAGACAAACATAAGACATAAATAATGAAACCCAAATAAAGTGAATACTACAAACTGAAAAGTGCAAGTAAGTGCAGTTCAAAAAGGAGTGTAAATTTCCAACTGTTGTAATTAGTAGCAACCAATATTTTCCACCACAGTTTAACCACATTCTGAAGGATCAATAATAGTCTCTGGTTGTTCTCTATGCCCTTCTGTGACCCCTCATTAAGGTCGATTCACCAGAGATTTTATTAACCATCATATCACAAGGGTCCTACATTCCTATAACAAACAAACCTTAAACAAATGTATTTTCATATCCCTCCACAGATATAAATTAACAAATTATTAAAATGATCTTGAGTTATTAAAGTGATGCTAAAGTCTCCAGTTTTTTTCACCTAAAATAATTTTAAAGGCACAGCTCTCAATTGATAAAAGTAATTACTTAGGGAGGGGGGGGTAGGGGGAACAACTAGTGAAAGGGTTTTTACTTTATTGCAGAAGAAACAATTGAGTACTGTCTGGGTAATGCATTAAGGTAAAAAACCATTTGGCTTTTAACCACTTGTTAAATACCCCAGGGGACCCAGGGTACATAGAACCTGTCCCCAATAAAATTTTTGTAGGAGTTGCTAAGATGCATGTCCAAATAACTCACCTCTCCATTCACCACAGAATGGCGCTCAGAGGAGGGGTTGATACAGATACAAAGCCTGCACTGGCACCCCCTCCTATGTACATCTGCAGCCCTCCTGTGCTTCCCCTGTTCCCTTTGTATTGTAAAAGACTGAGCTCACAATCTACAATAGTGGTTGGTGACTTGTGTTGTAAATACAATCAAAAAAATTCAAGCAACACAATCATGAAGCTAATACACTAGTTTCTGTAGGGAAAATGTGATAACTGCTGACTTATTTTTTTCTGAATGACAGTGTTGCTCTTCAGCCGCTGCCATTCACAACACAAGCCACCAGCTAGTTTGGAGCAGGCAACTACAGTAGTAGCTGCCAGCTTGTGTTTTGAATGAGGGTGGCTGGAAAGCAGGGCTATCATTCCCAAAAACACAAGCCAGCAGCAATGCAAGCTAGGTATATTAGCGTTGTCTGCCATTAATCATTTTTGCTCTTCATCCTGTATGGTCATGATTTTTAGGGCTGGGGTCAGCCACTGCACTGCTGTTCCTGAGTATTGTATGAAAGATCGCACCCCTGGCATGCTCCTACCTGTTGGCCACTGGGTGATACAGGCTGCACTCTACTGGAGTGTAATGAAACAAGTTTTCAGGAGACTGCACAGCTAAAGTCTGCAGCACCCAGTTGCCAGCAGGGAGTAGCATGTACATCTAAAGGAATGCCAGGGTTGTGTTTTTTCCTATAATGCGAAAGCTCCTTTTGAAAGGAGATTGGAGGCAGTGTGATGTGACGTTTGTAGAAGCCTGTTGGTCCTTCCCACCAAAATCAATTTTATTAACCACCTGTGGATCGTGCACTGAACATTTACGTGTACAGTGTGGACCCACTGCTGTGGATCACGTACATGTATGTGATTCCAGACTTCCGGGTAGGGGGCGCACGTGAGAGTCCCCGCCACCCCAACTGTGCTGTCACTGGCTCCAACACATGCCGATCACTGGGTTCCAGATCAATGATTTATGGCTGGGACCTGCTGATCGGCGGAGCGAGTGACAGCAGACAGCTCTGTGTTAGTAAATAACATAGAGCTCTCTACTGACAGTGATGGTGTGCTGGTTTTTGTCTCCTTCAAAGCTGGGAATAAAAACCCAGCATATTGCTTAGTTAACACATTAACACTTGTTAGATGCAGTTAATCCTTTGATTGCCCATAAATGTTAACCCCCTTCCCAGTCAGTGTCAGTACAATGTCAGTGTATTTTATTAGCACTGATCACTGTATTTGTGTCACTGGTGATGTCAGTGGCAGTCAGTTCCCACAAAAGTATCAGTTAGTGTCTGACTGCCCACTGTACTATCACAGCCCTGCTATAGGTCGCTGATCACTGTCATCACAAGTATTAAAAAAAAAAAAATTCCAGCATACACACCATCATTTGTAGATGCTATATCTTTCGCGCAAACCAATTATATACACTTATTAGGATTTTTTTTACTAATGACATAGTAGCAGAATACATTTTGGCCTAAATTTGTGAAGAAATTAGATTTTTAAAAACATTTTTTATTGGATATATTTTATAGCAGATAGTAAAAAAATATTGTTTATTTTTCAAACTTTTTTTTGTCCGTCGCTGGACCAAGATTGGGCTCAGGTGAGTATTAGGGGGGCTGAAAGCTTTTTTCCTTCATGCACACAATGCATGAAGGCAAAAAAACTTTAAGCCTTTACAACCACTTTGAGCAGTTAAAGACCAATAGAAAGACCTACTGATGACATATTTCCTATTTTTTTTTTTACTTCTTTAAATTGAATAACCATTTAAATACAATACTGTCAAAAGAAAGCCATGTTTATTCCATAAAAAGATATATATATGCAACACATATTTTCATAAGTATACCATTTTTTCTAAAGTTACATGCCCATAGCTAAAACGGGATATTGGCTCTGGAATTTAAATGTATGTAAAGCCAAAATTTTCAGTCCCAGGCAACAAACTGTCCCAGAGACACAGCAGGATCTCTATAAAACCAGGATATATCCCATCTAAGACAACTTTCACCAAAACCAGGTTACCTACTGAAAGATTTCCCCTCCCCTCCTTTTTCGGTGACAACTCAAAAACTTTATATTTCCTATCACATTCTGCACCAGAGATAATGGTGATAAACAGCAATAATAACCTGAAAAAGGCTTAAATCCTTCCACGTTTGATTCAAAAATAGAAAAAAAGTTATAGTTTTATATTCACTTTAAGCAGTTTTTTTCTGCATAATTTAATTAGCGATAGGTATGTTTCTCTGTACAGTTCAGCACTGTTATCAAAGAAATGAATACCACACAAGCTAAAAATGAAGAACTAATATATGCTTACTATTATAAAAAATACAGTGGGGGAAATTTACCAATTCTGTGGTAAATGCAAAACAGAAGCTAAGAGACAGATTTTGGAACAGATTTACTACAAGGCTTGGGTTGATTAATACATTTCCCCATCAGCTTCTCTAAAGTATCACTGCAACATAATGAAACCTGTCCCTGACCACTTCTTAA